TAAAAATGAGAGGAGGGGTTGAGCTGTCAAATTGTGAGAGGGAGAGAGAAAAGGAAAGTATGAGAGAGAATTACGGGAGAATAAAGAGGATTGGAGAGAGAGAGGGTTTTCTTTGGGGTGAACTGATGGAGAGAGAGAGAGGGAGGGTACGGTGAAATATTGAAGGGAGAGAGAAAAGGATTGATTTGGTATTTTTTTTGAATTTTGAAATGAGAGAAATATGGAAGGATTTATTTTTGGCTGGAGAAAAACATGGGGAGTGATTTAAGGTTGATTGGAAATTGATTAGGGGGATTATGGTAGGAATTCAAATGAGAGAAAATTAAGGAGGAAGAAGATTATGGGAATATATTTATTTATTTTTTATTCATAATATTTAAAAAAATCATTATAATAATAATTAACCATATAATAACATTAATAAATAATTAACAGCTAAATATTTATATATTTACATATGTACTAATATACTAAGCTCAGGTTTACATTAATAATAACAAGGTCACTAATAATATTAGCTACCAAAAGATTATATATAAAATCATTAAACTATAAATTAATATTTAGCAGAATTAATAAATACAAGACTATATATTTTATTATTTATTTATTTTGAAAACTCAGAAAATTCCAGAAATTAGGAAAAGTATTAACAAAATATAATATAATATTTTAAATACTAGAAAAATTTATTTAAATACGTATCAAAATTTACGGTTGTTACATCCTACCCCCCTTAAAACAAATTCCGCCCTCGGAATTAAAATAAAATCCAAGGACAGAGATATGGAATGATATCCATAAATAGAGGAGACAAGAACAAGAAACAGTAGGAAACCCAGAGTCAAAGGGTGATAAAGCAAGAACGAAATAAACAAGAACGTTGCCTATTATAGGAGGATGAAAATGCATCTAGGCTAGCACTCATAAACAAATCATATCATAATATCATCAGGCAATACGAAATAAGGAAGTTCACACGCAAATAAAACTAAGAATGAACTATTCTCACCGGTGATAACTTGGTTGTTCTCCTCTGCTTCCACAGCTGACATCATGAACATCTGTCGCCGAGGTTGCTGCCTGTGTGCTTCCTTATATACCTGCTGCTGTGGGGGAAGTGGCCCTGCTCGAGGATAGGGTCTGTACTGAGCTAGAGCTGCTGAGTCTGATCGAGGTGGAGCTGGAAGAGCCGCTCGAACTGGAGGTGGGGGCAAGCGGGCCTGCTGCTTCTGAGGACAGTTCGGACTGAGATGGTCGGGGGACCCACAGTTGAAGCACAGACGAAGGCGCTTGCGGCATCTACAATAAGAACACCTCACCGAAGACTGGCTCTGAGACTGCACTCCAAGATGCTGATAAGGGTGAGCCTGATGAAATGGCTGACGCTGAGAATCCTGCTGCCTCTGCGGGGCCTGCTGCTGCTGTCTCGGAGGGGGACGCTCAACATTCCGGGACGGAGCTGCTAGTGTCCTGCTCTGAATCACGTGCGGGTCTTCAGGTTCCTTCAGAACGCTCTCGATCTCGCGTGCTGCATCCAACACGGCGTCGTGGGTCGTAAGTGCTCTACCAGCTAGAGAAAACCTGATATACTTATCCAGGCCCTTCTGAAACTAATGCCTCCTGATAGTAGGGTCTGTCACCAAGTGGGGAGCATATCGGCTCAGAGAAGAAAACTCGGCCTCATAATCATCAACTATTCGCCCTCCTTGCTTGAGCTCCACAAATCTTCGCAAAAGCTCGTCCCGAGCTGACTGAGGGAAGTACTTCCTGTTGAAACGGTCTGTGAAGGTTTCCCACGAAATCGGTCTCTCCAAATGAGCCTTCTCTACAGTCCACCAAATCTGAGCGGTGTCGGTGAGCTGAATATCCATAAGGTCCACCCATTCAGCAGGGGCAATACGGGTCACCGTGAGAATAGTCTCAGTGACCTTCAAGAATTCCTCCACTGCTAGGGGTCCTTCAGCACTAGAGAAAGAAGGGGGCCGCATATACCGGAACTCCCTGACGCTAGACTCTGGACGAGGGGGAGGCTGTTGCTGAGGCTCCCGCTACAGCTGCCCAGCTAGGTGTTGCTGATTCGTGGCCAATCCCTGAATCATCGCCAGAAGTTGGCTCGGGTCCACTTCGGGCTGCGGGACACTGCTACTAGACGGGTTATCATTACTACGAGTACCCACCATGATTCTGAAGGAACGAGGATCAAAAGGAAAATTAAGGTTAAAATCAAATAATATATTTGGAAAATAGGAACTAAAAGATAGTTATTAAAATAACAGTATAAGAATTTAATTATAGTCTAAAATAATAATATAAGAACTTAATTGTAGTCTTACGGATGAAATATGATATGTATCTAAATTGTCTACCATATTTTTACTAGTGAGGACTCGGGACCGTGACCTGCATGGGCCACCACTAAAACCTGTCACGCCCCGCTTCCCAAAATACTCAGGACTCGGAACGTGAACAAGTCCGCGACGTATTAGATTGAGAAAAAATATATACTATTATTTTTTTTTCTTCTCAATCCAATACGCTAAACGTCAAATATAATATACGAAGTCTCAGGTCCCCGATCACACATAGCAAGAATATAATGACAACCTAGAATAAGAAATAGATATATCATCAATGGTAAATCAACCCAGACCTAAAAATATGGGTCAAACACGCCCTTATTACAAAACGGTCCAACTAAAAATATAAAAATACATAATCCAACAGAAATAAAGGAAAGCACTGCTAGAACAACTAAATCCAATATCATACTAAAGTAAGGTTCTGCAAAAGAGATCTAGCGCTTATCAACTACTACATAAAGAAAAGTCTAAGCTTCAGATTGTTCTTCTGATCCATCTGGAAGACCTTACTGCTGCAAATCCTCTGGCTCTTGTACTATCCCGAACTGAGGCTGTACATCTCTTAAATCTGACGTACACCCAGAAAATAGGAGTACGTCAGCGTGTAAAACACACGGCAAGATCCCCCAAGGCAAGAACAAATACAACAACGATAATGATAATATATGCGTGGTCAATGCGATAACAGAAATAAAAATAGAACATGTGATGATAGAATAACAATAGAGGCGTGCAACTGGAATACTAATAATCAGACGAATCCAAAAATTAACCAAGTAACAAGATCATGTAGGTAGCGATCAGAAACCATCCAAGCAACAAGATCATATAATAGATAGAATTAATATTTAAAAATCTACCACAAGAGACGTAGTACGTCGAGCGAAATAATCCAAACAAGGAAACCCTCATGTATATACCATATATCTCAAATTGTAGATAATTAAATATTAACCCCAATCTATGTATGAAAAGGATATAACTGGCCTACATCTCACAAGAACCCATAAATCATTCATGTAACAAAGTCATGTAACTAGCCATCCTATAACAGGTCACGGGTTCACATCTCACACAGAGTCAACGCTCATATTATCAGATAACTGACTGTTCATAAATCCCCTATGTGCATCCAATATCGCTACACAAACTCGATCAAAGGAATACATGCAATCCGTTTTCACCCTGGTTCGGACTCAAGCTAAACTCAGGTGAACATCAAATTCACGGACCAAAGTAGCGACACCGATCTACTTTGACCCAACAAACCAACCCTAGTGGTGACACCGATCCACTGGTGCGAGTCTAGAAGATATATCAACAGCCTTATCCGAACACATGAACAATAACTTCTCCATCCCAACTCTTCTCATTTTTTTCTAAGTCAACCATAATCCCTATTAAACTCGGGTTCACCACCTAACCTCAGTCAACACTCGTTGGTGCGAGCCTGGAAATAATCAACAATACCATATATCACTCCACCTCAGACCCACCCCAACGCTACACAGGAATATCGTTGGTGCGAGCCTGGAATAATCAACAATCACATCCGATCACCTAAACCAAGAATTCCTCATCTTAGCTCTCGCTTTTCTAAGTCAACAAAACACAGGTATCTAGGTCCTATACACGACACGCTAGGCCACTAAGTACATGAACTACTAACAGTTATCAACAAAACAAGAAATAATAAATAAATACAACTATTTTATGCAAATCATATGATGAACATGACTATATAGACTAGCGATGAATCAGGTATGCATATATGACAATGAGTGAGTATAAATAAGAGTGTCAACATGTCGGTGTCAAAGTACATGAAATGTTGTGTTCTTCAACTATCAATCACACAGTCATAATACAAAAATAATCCTATTCCAAAATAACTTCCTTAAAAACATTTATCATTCTAAAATAATTTCCTTCCGCAACATAAATTCTAAAAATATTATAATAATTTTGTTATTCAAAATAAATTCTTTAATTTATTATATTTGTCCTGAAAATACTATTTATCCCATAATTACTATCCATTCAATATTATTTATTAAACTCACGCAGGTAAATATTAACAGATCTAAAATTGCAGATAATTCTAAAAAATAGAAAAAGTAGTTCTGAGCAAGCAGGATCTTGCCTCGGGGATTTATCGAACGAATCGACGTCGCCGTGCGAGGCTACGGGTCCGCGAACGAGGAGACAGCGATAGGCAGCGACGGTGACGACGAGCGGTGGAGGACAGCGGCTACGAGGAGGCTTGGGCAGCAGCAGATCTGGCGGCTCGGGTTCGGAGTTCGTCGGCGTGCAGCTGNCGTGGTCAGGTTCAGTGCTTGAGGAAGAAGAAGAAGAAGAAGAAGAGGAGGGTTTTCTTTTGGGGTGAACTGATGGAGAGAGAGAGGGGGTACGGGGGAGAGAGAGTACGGGTATGGGGAGAGAAAAAAGAAAGATTTGTTTATGGAAGGGAATAGAGAGAAGGATTTGATTATGTTTTCTTTTTTTGAATTTTGAAATGAGAGAAAAATGGATGGATTAATTTTGGCTGGAGAAAATCATGGGGAGTGATTTGGGGTTGATTGGAAATTGATTAGGGAGATTATGGTAGGAATTCAAATGAGAGAAAATTAAGGAGGAAGAAGATTATGGGAATATATTTATTTATTTATTTATTCATAATATTTAAAAAAATCATTATAATAATAATTAACCATATAATAACATTAATAAATAATTAACAGCTAAATATTTATATATTTACATATGTACTAATATACTAAGCTCAGGTTTACATTAATAATAACAAGGTCACTAATAATATTAGCTACCAAAAGATTATATATAAAATCATTAAACCATAAATTAATATTTAGCAGAATTAATAAATACAAGACTATATATTTTATTATTTATTTATTTTGAAAACTCAGAAAATTCTAGAAATTTGGAAAATATTAACAAAATATAATATAATATTTTAAATACTAGAAAATTTTATTTAAATACGTATCAAAATTTACGGTTGTTACATACTATTTCCCTCAGTATGATGAGTTGTCGAGAAGTTTCTTTTAGACTTAATGCTAAAATTTCTTCTCTTCCCTTAGCCATTCGAGGCATTGAGTTGGGTTAATTACAAATGTTAAGTGTAATTATGTTGGGCTGTGTTGTTAAGTGTAACAACTTAGCCCGAAATGACCAATCACTTGTGTAAGTGATCGGTGGAGGGTATGAATAACGAATAATTGCTTGGTAGGTCGCCGTTCGGGGAATCGATAGGGCACATTGCTTAGAAGGCTATCACGCCATGGTTTCCAAAATACTGGGGAACCAGGACGTGAACAAGCCCGCGACGTATTAGACTAAAGAGAAATAAGTACTAGACATTCTACTCAATCTAATACGCTAAGCATCAAGCAATATGAAGTGAAGGAACCGGTCCCTGATCATAGTAGCGAGAATATAATAAACAACTCAGAACCAAATGATACATATCATAACTGAAATAGCATCCCAGATATAAAATTTGGGTCAACATATCCTTATACAAAACTATAACTGAATATTAGAAAGACATAAAAATACACCAATCAAATGGGAAAAGAAAGTGTTACAAAATTAAACAAGGACCATCAATAACTAAAAGGAAAAACGTAGCTTCGGCTTCTTCATCAGCTCTGTCATCAAAACACTCCTGCTAAGGATACTCGGGCTCTGGCGTGTCTCCAAGCTGGACATGTCCATCCTCTAAGTATGACGTTCCACCCGAGAGAACAGGAGTACGTCGGCGTGCATGGCACACGGCAAGATCCCACAAGGGAGAAAAAAAATGATCGAATGATCAATGCAATGACAGTAATAATAAAAATAGAAGTATGCAATTGTAATTCAAACAATTAGATGCAAATCACCACTAAATTATAATAATCAGGAGAAAAAAGAAAAAATCTAACTCATCCAAGAATGGGGTCATACTACTAACCATCCTATAATAACTCACTGGTCCACATCTCAAATAGGTCAAAGTTCATATTCTCGGATAATTGAGTGTTCACAAATCCTCTACGTGCATCCAATGCCGCTACACGATATCGGTCAGAGGACTACACGCAATCTGATTTCGACCTGGTCTGAACTCAAGTAAAACTCGGGTGACTATACGATTTTCACTGACTAAAGTGACTACACGATTTTTACTTTGGCCCAACAAACCAACCCCAGTGACTACACGATTTTAACTGGTGCGAGTTTGGAAGATACATCAATAGCCACATCTGATCACATGAACCAAGACTTTCCCATCCCAACTCTTCTTATTTCACTAAGTCAACAAACAAGACTTATAATAGATTTGGGGTTACCTCCTAAATTTAGTCAACGTACCCACACATATCACTAAGTCTTGTTCTTAACGCACAAAGCCACTAAGTCATGAACTACTAATGGTTCTCAATCACAATAAGTAAATAATAAATGAAATACATCCAATCCTGTGCTACAATATCATGGCATGTCAAATATATTAAAATAAAGATCATAAAACAAGCACAGTAACTATGAATAGTGTGGTGTACGTGTACAGTAGCAGTGAGCAGATCAAAATAATTCCTTTTCCAAAATAAAGACTT